AAATCATATAGATATGATTTTATTGTTTTAATTCTCTATGTTGATGATATTTTGATTACATGAAACAACTCTATGTTGATTGACCAATTAAAGAATTACTATAGAGAATTCACAACCAAAGATTTGGAAAATATTGATATGTTCTTTGGGTTATAGATTGAGCAAAGTACTCAAGGGCTATACATATCTTAGAGACACTACCTCCATGATATTATGTTAGGAGAGAACATGATGAACTCCAAGGGATGTTCTACTCCTCTTTCACCTGGTACTAGAATTACTATTGATGAGGGTACTTTGCTATCTAGTTCAGATCATTACCAGAGATTAGTAGGGAGATGTTTGTATCTTACCATATCTAGGCATGATATAATGTTTGCAGTACAAAAATTGACTCAATTAATATCTAGGCCAGCTTTAGCTTATCTTAAGTTAGCTTACAAACTACTCAAATATCTAAATGGTACCAATGAGTTTTCCCTGTTCTATCCTTATTGTTCAGACATGAAACTTGAAGCCTTTTCAGATGCTGATTGGGGCAGTTGCCTAACCACTGGAAAATCCACCACTGGATATTGCATTTTCTTGGGAGAGTGCTTCGCCTCCTGGAAATCGAACAAACAAACCACAATTTCCAAGTCCTTAGCTGAAGCTGAGTATAAGGTTCTTGCTCACAAAGTAATTGAACTGTTGTGTTTATCTTATTTGCTGAGAGACTTTCAAATTGAGTTTGAGGTTCAATTCCAATATTTTGTGATAATCTTGATGCCATTAACATGGTTCCTAATCTTGTGCATTATGAGCGAACCAGGCATCTTGATGTAGACTGTCACTTCATTAGAGATTACTACACTGTTGGTTTAATTGATCCTATTCACATGTCATCTAAGGACCAATTAGCTGATTTGTTTACAAAGCCTCTCCCTAGTCATACATTTCACTACTTAAGAGTCAAATTGCATCTTGATTACCACTGTGTCCAGTTTAAGGGGGGTATGAAGAATAAAAAAGAAAACAGAACCTTTGCATCTGTATTGTCTTGTGCATGTGCATTGAAAATTTCTAGAGTTAGAGATCCAACAAAAGACAAAGTAAGGTACATAACAATAATACAACAATATCTTATTCAAAGTCAAAAAATTCCAAATATTGTTATGATTGTAAAACAGTTATTTTATAGCAGTACGTAGGATGAATGATTAGTTTTTTTAGTTGACTCTATCCTTAGAAAGTTTTTCATCCCTCTCTATACATACTAGAGCATTGTGTTCAATAATGAATGGAGAAAACATTTCTAATTGTTTGTGTTCTTAAACATATATATATATATATATTTGAAAATAATGGAAAACATACGTAATGGCAGTATCTTCCCTACCAATGGCCCTTTGTTATCTAACCTAATTAAATATCTCTCCATTTTTAATTTAGTATCTAAATCATTTATTTTATTTTATTAGTATTTCCACCCACACTCATAATTTCTACAAAATCTTTTCTTAAAATTCAATATTACTACAATGTTGCTCTTTTTGGCTCCATTGTGCAGTAAATTACTCCCAAATTGCTCCCTCCGTCCCAGAAAATATGGAACTATTACTGTAGATATGGAAATTCAGATAAAGTATAATTAGTAAATAATTAAGAAGTGTATTAGTAAAAATAATTATTATTTAGTAAAAATAATTATAAATTAAGATTAAGATAAATAAATAGTTTAATTAAAATTAAGAAAATTATAAAATTTAAAATGCAATTAAAGTGCATAATTATATTTCTAAAAATAGAAATGACAAGTTATGTGGGACGGACGAAAATAGAAAATATGGATAAATTATGTGAGACGGATGGAGTAGTAGATACTGTTCCAAATAATAATACTCCTTTCGTCTTTAGATAAAATATCTCGTTTACGTAGATACAAAAATTTCGAAATATTATAATTAAGAAATAGTATATTAATAAAAATAATTATAAATTAAAATTAAAAACATTATAGTATTAAGTATAAAATTCAACATATTATTAAAATATATAATTATTAAAAAAAAGACAAATGATGTGGAATAGACATAAATAAAAATATTTAGCACTTTATTTGAGAAGTAATAATTACAACAATAAAACAGGTGTTAGTTGCAAAATTCTTTAAATATAAATTTTTAATAAATACTCCATCCGTCTCATGTAATATGGGTGTATTACTGTAGATACGGGAATTTAGGTAAAATATAATTAGTAAGTAATTAAGAAGTATATTAGAAAAAAATATTATTATTTAGTAAAAATAATTATAGATTAAGATTAAAATAAGTAAATAGTTTAATTAAAATTAAAAAGATTATAAAATTTAAAATTTAAAATGCGATTAAAATGCATAATTATATTTCCAAAAATAGAAAGGACAAGTTATATGGACGGACAAAAGTAGAAAATAGGGACAAATTATGTGGGACGGAGGAAATGCGAAGAAATTTGTAAGTTTGATGACACTTCCTTTCCTTGTCCTTATCAATCTATCATTTTTGTTATATTGATCTATACCATAATAAAGTATTCCTTCCGTTCCGTGACGGATCAATCATTTTATTAGGGACACGGTTTTTTAGGTAGCGTAAATTAATAAGTTATGATTTATATAAAAAAATATATTAGGTGTTATTTTAAAAAATTTTAAGATTATATCTCGAAAAAATATATGCAATATGGATATCATTTCGTAGATAATAAAATTTTATTTCATACAAATAAATAAATATCATTATCATAAATTAATTTTATAAAAAATGAGAAGTTTTAAATATAAATAAAAAATTACGTTAATTAGGAGAGAGATAGAAATAAAGAGGTTTTGAGTGAGTTCTGAGTGTAAGATGTTAGAAGTTTAATTAAATTGATTTATATTCGTTAAGTATGTGTAAGATTGATAAAGTTACTAAAAATAAAAATTGGTCATCTTTTGTGAGATGTAAAAAAAAATGAAAAATAGGTCATCTTAGTGGGGTGGAGGGAGTATTAAATTTTCTTTGTAGTAACTGTATTATTGTTTAATATTAAAAATATTCTTACAACTTAAACTATATTATACAAATGTCATTATTTTTATATTATACAATACTAATAATGTTATTTTTATTATTTTTTTCTTAATTTTTACTATATATCATTAATTAATATTTAAAAATTTATGTAAAAAAAACAATCACATACTTATTTAATATATATATATATATATATAAATAGTTTAGCTAAACTGTATGATCAATTAATAAAATATCTAATGTGTTTTGAACATGAATTGAACTAGTAATAATGTCCCATAATCTATATTTTTCAAAAAGTGAAAAATAAGACAAAAAAAATAAAATAAAATAAAATAAAAACAAGGGTTTTGGGTAAAGGGCCAAAGGCAGGCTCCCTTTGTGGGTAGCATATAGTCTCCACACCAGCAATGATGCACGTGCACATGCACGTGCACTCAATAGAAGTAAACAATAATTAATTAATATATATATTAAGTTTGGACAACGCACGCACTCACACAACCTTAAAATTAGTACATTGGATCTTAGCTTCTTCTTACAACTAAAGTGCATCCACTCCTTCCTTATTTAATTTTATTTATTTTATCTTTTAATCTTTTTGCCAAAAAAGAACAAAAAGATTACTATAGCTTGCAACAACATCAATGCCCCCCCCCCCCCCCCCCCCACCCCACCACCACCTTTTCATCATTTCTAGAATTTAAATTAAATTAATTTCTTCCTAACTAATTTCAAGAAATGCTTATGGATAAAAATACATTTCCATCAAGATTATACCGAGGTTGGATCATATTCTTAAATAAAATAAAAGAAAATATTTTGCTGCCTAATATCAATATAGAATTTATTTTTTTTATTTATTTATTTGTTTTAATTGTTTTTGGGCACATGACAAGAGTTGTAACAAAAATGTAGTATCATGTGGGAGGCGTGAATTTCCAAAATTGCCCTTTTCAATTGAATAAAGTTATTTTGACCAGTCAATTGTAATAGACACATGTGGGTGTGTGTATTAACGAAACTTGTAGAGAGTTTAATTTATTATTATGGTGTATATTTAAATCTGCAATTATTGAAGTATGATACGGCATCAATTAAAAAATATGTACTAGTGACAGAAAATGGCAGGAACATGACAGCTGGCAAGGCTGTGTTTGGATGACCCTACTTGTTGGAACCCACACTTTCCCTTTTCATTTCATCTTAGTGTGTTTGTTTGGGGGATTGGATTGGATTTACACTATTCATTCAATTTTTTTTCCAAAAATATCAAATCAAACAACTATTTTTCATTTTTTATATTATACTAAAAATTAATTTTATATTCAAAACATCACATCAACACCTATTTATATCACATCATACAACTATTCAAATTCAAAATTTTTACTATTCAAATCCTAACTCAAAATCCAAACCACCAATCAAACACACCCTTATGTGTTTGAATGTCTTCACTACTGGTGTACATTTTCACATGTATTCACCATAAAATATAGGTTTTATTTATACTGAGATTTTTTGAGATTTTTAAAATTTTAAAAATTAAAAAAAAAATAAAATCTCACCTTCCTTAATATCAATATTTCTTAAATACCATATCCAACCCAATTAAGACTATAGTTCTGGAACGGAGGGAGGGAATATGATATTTTATAAAAAAAATTTAGAATCCGGATGAAAATAGTATTTGATATGTTAGTGTAAATTAAACAAAGTTTGTAAATTAAATTTTGATGCAAGAAGAATCCAAAATAGGCATCTATTCAGTCACCATCACAGTGAGGTCACAATTCAAAACAGCCCTTATACTAAAATTTAAACATCTAAATTTAAATTATATACATACAATAATAAAATATTCTTACAAGTTAAAACAACCCTTTTCCTCCCTTATGAGTTATGAATAATAACAAGATTTTTTTTTTTTTTTTTTTGGTGGGGGGGTGGGAGGGGGACTAACTTATACATCATTTTCTAATACAAAAGTTACACTGTTTACTTTTTACACCATTTGGGAAAATTTCCTTATCCTAAAAACAAAAAAAAACAAAAAAAATCTATCTTAAACATTCTTGCTCATGAGCTCATTCCCTTCCTTAATGCTCATCCCCACACCTTCACCTACACCAAATCCGCCGCCGTCCTCCTCCTCCACGGCGGCGGCGCCGCCGCCGGAGTCGAAACCCAATCCCGCCTGGATCTCTTTAAACATAGCCATGACTTGTATCATCGTCGGACGCTTCCACGGACGATCGTCGAGGCAAGCGCACGCGACCTTCAAATGCTGTAGGAGTTCGATCTCCAAGCTCGGGTCCTCGTCGATTAACGCCGGATCGAAAACGTCGCTCACTCGCCCCTTCGCATGCTGCTTCACCCACCCGACGAGATTGTTGTCGCCGAAATCCGCCGAATCCGTCGGCGGACGCCCCGTGAGCAGCTCGAGCAGCACGACGCCGTAGCTATACACGTCGCCCTTCGTCGAGCACCGAAAGCTTTGGTAGTACTCCGGTGGGACGTATCCTGGCGTCCCGGCGAGCGTGCTCACACTAAGATGCGTGTCCATCGCGCTCATCCACCGCGCCATCCCGAAGTCGGAGACGCGGGCCTCGAGATTCTCGTCGAGCAAAACGTTGCTCGACTTCATGTCCCGGTGGATGATGTGCGGGACGCACGTGTGGAGGAATGCCAGCCCGCGAGCCGCGCCGATCGCGATTTTCCGGCGCGCCGCCCAATCGAGCTTCACGTCCGACTTCCTCCGGCTGTGCAGCGCATCGTCTAAGCTCCCGTACTTCATGTACTCGTACACCAACAGCCGTTCCTCGCCGACCTTGCAGTAGCCTAACAACAACACGAGATTCCGGTGCTTGATCTTCCCAATCGTCTCCATCTCCGCCATGAACTCGCGGTCACCCTGCCCGCTGACGTGGATCAATTTCTTGATCGCGACGACGCTCCCGTCTTTCAGCTGGGCCTTGTACACGTCGCCGAACCCGCCGGAGCCGACGAGGCTGTCGGCGTGGAACCCGTTGGTCGCTTCTAGAAGGTCGACGAATGTGAGCTTCCGCAACGGCTTCTCGAATGTTGCGAGGCTGATGCTGAGCGCGTCGCGCGCGCTCATCTTCATCCAGTTCGTGTTCACCGTCGCCGAGTTTGAATTGTTGTTGTCCATATACGCCTCGACCGCCGCCTCTTTCTTCTTCTTGTTCCGTTTCTTCGTCTCGACGGCGACGATCACCGACGCGAGCACGCAGAATAGGGCGAAGAGCAGCCCGAGCGCAACGCTTCCGGCGAGCGATCCGCGCTTCGGGTGCGTCTTCGGGCGATTGTTTCCCGATGCTAACGCAGAGCTGCTGCAGGCAGGGAGCGGGTACCCGCAGAGTCCGGAATTGTTGGCAAATCGGTAATCAGGGAATGTGTCGAACGGCGCCGATTCCGGGATCTTCCCGGAGAACTCGTTGTTCGAAAGATCAACGTCGCCGAGCAATGTGAGTCCCGTCAACGACTGCGGGATCGATCCGTTCAATCGATTGTACGACAAATCGAGAATCGCGACATTCTTGAGCCCCCCGAGCTCCTGCGGGATCGGACCGGAGAGATCGTTGTGACCCATGTTGAGTATCGACAAGTAGTACATCGACCCGAGCTCCTTTGGGATGCTCCCGAACAACTTATTATACGACAGGTCGAGGAAAATCATCGAGCCATTGTTGTTAAACGTCGGCTTCGTGATCCCGCGATAAACGCGGGTGAAGTTACACGGATGCCTCGTCGAAATTCGATTGAGCTGCTCCTGCCTAATGCCCCCGAATTCGAGCAAATTCCCGGCCCCGTGGCACTTCTTGCTCCCGTCGTTCTTGATGTACACGTAGCTTTTTCCGGTGAGGAGTGCGACGGCGATGTTCCCGGATTGCTGGAACAGCGCCGGCGGGATCGTCCCGTTGAGGAAATTGGTGTTGAGATCCAACCAAATCAAGCTCCGGCAATCCCCGAGCTCCGGCGGGATCCTCCCAGACAACGAATTATTCCCGAGCTTGAGAATCGCGAGGTTCGGCAGCCTGCCTAACGACGGCGGGATCGAGCCGGTGAGCATATTGTTGGACAATGAAATCCAGTTCAGATTGGAGCAGTTGCTGAGGCTGTCCGGAATGGAACCGGTGAGGTCGTTGAAGTCGAGGATGAGATTCTCGAGGCTCTGTAAGAACATGAACTCCTTAGGGATTGTGCCGTGGAGCATATTGAGCCAGAGAATGACATCCCTGAGCTTGGAAAGGGATCCCATGGAGGAAGGGATCGTCCCCGTCAGGTAATTGAAGCTGAGGTCGAGAGAGACCAAATTGGAGCAGTTACTGAGGCTGTCGGGGATAGGACCGTCGAGCATGTTGTTCTGAAGGTAGAGAACTTTGAGGTTTTTGGCGGAGCAGATGGCGGGCGGGATCGGACCGGACAGGTTATTGGAGCTCAAATCGAGGGTTTCCATGGCAAGCATTTTCACGAGCAGGGAATCGTCTTGGGGAAGACGACCGACGAAGTTATTGAATGACAAGACCAGAGTCTCCAAACTGGTCAGCTGTAATAAAGTGTGGACAGGCAGCTCACCAGAGAAGTTGTTGTGGGAGATATCGAGAAGCTTCAGGGACGAGGAGCATCCAGCCAGGCTGTCCGGGACAGGCCCTGTCAAATTATTGAACGACAAATCAAGCTCCACCAGCCCGGAGGCGCACAAATCCGACATCGGAGTCGGAAACCCGCCCTGGAATTCATTCCCCTGGAGGTACACGTACTGAAGTCCGCCGCCGGCCGGCAAGGCTGGCACGCCGCCGGTGAGATGGTTGTTGGTGAGATTAAGGAAGGTGAGATTCCGACAAGGTACAAGGGCGTCATTAACATCTCCGAAAAGCTTGTTGGAGGAGAAATCGAGGTAGCGGAGGGAAGGGAAAGATTTGAGGGAAGGGAAGGGGGCGGAGATGTTGTTGAGGGAGAGATCTAAATGGACCAAATTGAGGTCGGAATTGGGGTCGCCGCCATAGCCGGAGACCTTATTGTCCTTCAACGACAGGTGTTGCAGCGAGGGGAAGCTGGGGGAGAGAAGCCACGAAACGACGTCGTCGCCGGATATATTGTTGTAAGAAAGATCAAGAACTCGGAGGCCCAACAGCCCCCCCGGCCGCGGCCTCCCCTTCCCCCCATTCTCCTCCATCATCGAATTCCGTGACAGGTTGAGGAGCTCCAGACCGGGGCAAAACCGGAAGGCGGAGATGCCCTGAACCGGACCGGAAATCTGATTCCCCGACAGATCTAACGAATTGAGGTGACCGGAGCAGTCGCCGGAGGGAGGCGGAGAAATCTCGCCGGAGAGATTGGCGTCTCGCAGGGAGAGTGATTGCAGAGTCGGGACGGAGAGGAGGAGCGCGGCGACGGCGGAGAAGTCGGCGTCGAGGCGGTAATTGGAGAGGTCAATGGAGGAAACCGTAGAATTGGAACAGTAGACGCCATGGAAGCTGCAAAGGGAGTTTGAGGGGAGCCAGGTGGGGAGGAGGTCCGGGTTCTTGAGGCCCTTCTTGAACGAAATCAGCTTCTCCGACGCTCTTACTTCCTCCGGCGCCGGCGCCGGCGCCGCGGCGCCGGCGAGGCAGAACAACAGCAGCAAGAAGAATAAAGGATGGTGGAAGAGATTGTTGTCGGATTTCATCTCTGTATAGACAAACTAAAAAACAGACTCTTTCTCAGTGATGGATTTCTCTATCAGCTCTAGATAGATAGATTGATGGATTAGTAGCTCATCTGCTCTTTCGCAACTCTTCTTCCATTGTAGAGAGAGAGAGAGAGAGAGAGAGAGAGAGAGGGGTAAGGAGAGAGAGAGAGAGAGAGAGAGAGAGAGAGAGAGAGAGAGAGAGGGTGGCTGGTTTTGGTTTGGGTTTGGGAAGGAGGGGTGAAAACTACTGAGAGTCAAAAGCCTGACGGGTGAAGGTGATATGGGTATATATAATATATTATAAAAATAAATAAATAAATATCCTAAATTATACTGGTATTTATTGCGAGTATAGTTTTGATCTTGGGAGGACTCGGGATCTTGGTCCCGAAGAATCTGAAGCGTGGATGGAAGTGGCTGTTGACGGTGAGGATCGATCCGGCGTGGGGAGGTCGGGGTGTGTTTGAGAAGGTAGAGGTTGGGGGTGGGTGGGTGGGTGAAATGGGGGGGGAGTGGACACAGCTGTTGTTCACATGCCATGTGACATATTTCCATCAAATTTTGCTTACTCTAAAATATAGTTTCTAATGCTCACAATTGCGGGATATTTTACTTAATATTAGAAATATTTTTATATTTATATAATTTTTAATATTATAAAATATTAATAAAAATATTTTTATATTTTTTTAATTTATAATAAATTATAATATAAAAATTAATATTTAAATATCTAACACAAAAAAATAAATAAGATCTTTAGAGTTGAACGAAAATAGTACTGTACTTATAATATGGCCTTACCATCTCTCTCTTTCTTTCTCTCTCTAAAAATGTAATGAGTGAATGGGGGGTTCTTACGAGTTACAAAACAATCTTGTGTTTGTCTCTCTAAGTTCGCGCGTACGTGTGATTAAGAAATATGGAGAGAGAAGGAGAGAGAGAGATTCCATTGTTATAATAATAATATTATTATTATATTTTTATTTTTGTTTAATAGGGGAATTTGTCTTCATTCATGCATGCATAAATGATGATCTCAAAAGAATAGCTAATTAATAAGAAATTTAATATCTTGATTATTACCATATTATTATTGCTATTAATTATTCCAGTTACTGCTACTAGATTAATTAAATAATTAATTAATTAATTAATCCACTTTTTGACTTGTACTATGATTTAATTATAGTATAGAAACTCACACTTGCTATGGATTCATGTGGAGTTGGAGATAATTGTGGCCCTTGTCTTACCTTCTACGTTGTTTCCTTCCTCTCTCTCTCTCTCTCTCTACTCTCTACATTTGTTAATTATGTCATTTAATTAATTTCTTAATTAAATTATAATATAATTAAGATGGATTATGTCATCACTTTGAATTACTTCAACTTGTTTAATTTTTTTTGTTTGAAAATGATGTAACTAGACATAGTTCGGAAAAAAAAAAAAAGAATTTATTTTATAAGGGTCGAAATATCAAAAAATTATGAGTAATATTACGTCAATCTTGGAATTCTTGTCAATAAGAACAATAGATGAATAGCATTTCAGCCGACCAAATATTCTTCGTACACCAATGTTCGGAAAAAGAAAGAATTTATTTTATAAGCGTCGAAACGATTATTTTGTAATCTAATTGGCTCTCTTTTGGATCGACCGTTTCCAAAAAATTATGAGCAACGTTACGTCAATCTACTACTTTTCATCAATAAAAACAACATATGAATACCATTTCAACCGACCAGATATTCTTCGTACACCAATGAAATCGAACGGAATATAAATACCGTTAAGTTTATACGTTATCAGATATCCGAGTATCGGTGTTTTTATTCGCTTGCTCTGACGAATGAAGTGCATTTTCGAGCGCCAATAACATTCGTGATACCAATATTTCAACTATCAATATTTTTTTCATTTATATTGACCAATAAAGTATTCTTTTAGTGTCGATAATCGTCATGCGAATATTTCAAGTATCAGTGTTTTTATTCGGTGCTTTGACGAATGAAGTATATTTTTTAACGCCAATAACATTCGTGATGCCAATAGTTCAACTATCAATGTTTTTTCATTTATATTGACCAATAAAGTTTTTTTTTTTTTTATGACAATAATCGTCATGTGAATATTTCGAGTATCAGTGTTTTTATTCGCTTATTTTGACCAATAAAATAAGAACTTTTGAATGCCAATAATATTTGTTATACCTCTATTTTCACGTGACGTAATTTAATTCGATTTGAATATGTATAATTAAACCATTCAATCAATCTTTCTTTAAATAAAGAGTAGGGAGTATACGCAATTAAGTTCTCTCTTCACGCACGTTTTTAGATGGATTGATTATTGACGTGAGATATCAAAAATTGTGTTAAAAGTATAAAATATAGTATTATTTTAAGTTGAATATTTAATTTTTTTTAGAAGAGTGTTTGAAATTTTTTTAACTTTTTTATTTTTGTAAAAAAAATTTGTATTGTTTATTATTATTTTTTTTAGGAATATCAATATTGAGAGAACAAAATATAACTATTTAACAAGCAATAGTGTGTATTTATATTTAATATTATTCCCTTCGTCCCAATACAATAGTCTTGTTTACCATTTTTGTCTCTCCCAAAACAATAGTCTTATTTTCATAAATAACCATATCATCATAAAACTACCCTTACTTTTTCATTTTTATTACATAATTGTCATTAATTTTTACACTAATACACTCACAGGGGCAAAAAAAATCTTTTATCTATATTTTTTTTTCAACTACCAATATAATATCAATATTCTTTAAATCTCGTGACCAACCCAATTAAGATTATAGTTATGGGATGGAGGGAGTAGTATATGATATATTTATTGGTTAGATTAAAGTAAACTATCTTAAATATTCCTTGGTTTAAATAAAATGATAAAAATATATTTCATGCTTAAAAAAAAAGTCGATCCCTTTCTATGTAAGAGTTTGCAAAATTTGAAAATAATTAAAATTTTCGAATAAAATATATAAATATTTAAAGAATTAATACAATTTTATATTAAAAACAAAAATTGTTAATAGAAATGAAATATTTGATATAACAATTTTTAAATTATTATTATTGATTAAGAGTATCATCTAAAGAGCCTACATAATTTAAATAATATTATATTAATTAAATAAATAAATACTAAACTGCACATTGTAAAATATCTTAAATGATAACTATATGCAACATCATAAAACAATTATTATTATTTTCTTAAAATTTTCATTATGAAATTCTTATAATTTTTTATAAATATATATATGTATAAAATATAATATCAAACTATTATTTAAATTAAAATCTAAAGCTATAAAATGCATATACTTCCCCGTCCATAAAATATTTATTTTTTCAATTTAATTCGTCCCATAACAAAGTATCTATTTCTTTTTTTTAATAACTGTATTATCTACTTAACATTACAAATACCCTTACAACTTACAATATATTACACAAATGTCATTACCTTTATATCACACATACTACTAAGGTTATTTTAGTCATTTCTATTTTATTCTTACTGCATCCAAATATAATACTAATATTTTTAAAATTATATGCAAAAAACAAATATATAAAAATAATAGGTATGACATCAAATTTTCTGTAACAAAATTTGGTACGATACTATTAATTTTTTTATGTTATTTCGTCATAGCATGGAAAGATTTTGTTTTATGTGCACTATTAATTTGACGTATTTTTATTGAAATAGGAAAATTTATCATATGTAATAAACTATCGATTCCATTTCTCTTGGTGTTTTATTTTAGTTTTTGTACATTTTTTGTATTTTTTTAAAAATAAAGTCTTTATTAAATTTGATATTTCATATAAAAAAATTTAGATTTAATAGTGTAAAAAAAAATAAAAAAAACCAAACCGAACATATTCGGTCGCAATGTGTTTGCTTATGATTTTAAACATATTTCAACACTATTTAATCTGAACAGTTTTTAATAATTTTTTTATATATATAAAATATAATATCAAAATACTATTTAAACTAAAATTCAAATTAAAAATTAAAAGTCTAATTTCAAATACAAATCAAATAAAGCGAGGAGTTGAGCCTGAACTATCGAACCAAATTGCATCTATCGATAATTGCAAAATGCACTTTTGAAAAAAATAAAGATAATAGTATTATTTAGTATTTTTAGTTCAGAATATTTTAATATATCAGTAATATAAAAAAATGATATTTTGTATTAAATTATTAATATTTTTTATAAGTCCGTGAAATATGTACTTTGTACATGTTTATGTATACATTTATTTTTTACAATATTAATTGAAAAGCATGTCAAATACTTAATTTTTTTAATTATTTATATATATATATATATATAATTAGACCCAAAATAAATAAATAAATAAATAAATAAAAATGGATGAAGATGCTCTGACGGGGTCTATACATAAATACATACGTCTATACATGGCTATGTATAAGGAAGTGACAAAAGTTATAGGTAGTAGGCTGACAAGTGTAATAATCTTCACTTGATTGACATCATACGAATACGAATACGAATACGAATACGAATATGAATGAATCTATATAAATATTTATAATGCTCTATCTCACTTTCTACTTCCTACATATTAATTAACTGCCTGTATTCAAACCCCATTTGTCCAAATTCTTTTTTATTTTTATTATTTCATGTAAAAAATAAATAAAAAATAAAAATAAATAAATAAAGGGTAAACTGATTTTTTAGTCCCGTAACTGGACCCCTTATCATTTTAGTCCTGTAAATGGAGCATGTCGCAATCTAGTCCCATAAGTGAAAAATTTTCGTTGTTTTAGTCTTCCGGCGCCGGAGATGCCCGCGTGGCTCGCCGGAGGTGACGTGTCCGCCAGGTGTCGCTGACCTGGCGGACACGTGGATTGTTTTTTTTTTTTTTTTTTTTCATTTTTTTAATTTTTTTTAAACTTATTTTTAATTTTATTTGTATTTTTTTTTATTTGGTCCAATTAAAAAAAATTAAAAAAATAAAAAAAATGAAAAAAAATAATAAATCCACGTGTCCGCCAGGTGTCGCTAACCTGGCGGGACACCTGGCGGACACGTCACCTCCGGCGAGCCACGGGGGCGTCTCCGGCGCCGGAGGACTAAAACAACGAAAATTTTTCACTTATGGGACTAGTTTGCAACAAGCTCCACTTACCGGACTAAAATGATAAAGGGGTCCAGTTACGGGACTAAAA